TTGTCGTTAGCACATTGTATCAGGGCTTAATGTATTTTTGACGATTGTTTTAAAAGGCGCAACAATACAACAGTTGCAGGAAAAGAAATCGGAACCTGTTTCCTCCACACCCTCTTGATACTTACATTGATAATTCATGTGGTCTTTGGCTTATGCAGTTCCTTGTCTCATCATGACTGGATTAAGAAATGAGTAACTGTCAACAATACATTATCAAGCTGAAACCTCCATCTCTAGGGTTAGACATTACCCTTCTGTCAACGTGCTAGAAGAAAAAAATCATCCTCAGTAAAGGGGCGCCTTCGCCACAGGAAGTTAACGCAGGAGTTAACTGTAATCTAGCACTGTGCCTTCCAAACACTGTGGTCAGAAGTTTGGTGTAAAAAGAGAAGGATTTCAAATCGTTTGAATTTAAAACTCACTATTTTTTTTTCTTTCTTTAGCTAGGGAACTAATACATTCCTAGTTTGGCTCAAGGCGGTCTCTCTCCCCCTCCCCCTCCCCCCAACCCGGTCCCCCACCCTCTTCTGTCTCTCTTTCAGTCGCACAGTGAAAAGGGAGAAGGGAGGTGGAAAGAGACAGGTTCTTGGCATCTGCTCGCACTCCAGCCTGTATTTGTGCCCGCAGTGACTGGCCAGAGGAGCGCAGTGTCCAGCGGGGGCAAGGAACCTGTGTCCTGGCACTCCACTCACCAGCAGGGGACCTTTAATGCTCTCTCACACTGTGTACTTTTGAAGCACTTGATGGAACCACTCCTTGGTAGGAAATTAAGGATTAAAGGACAGTTCTCAGACTGAATTGTTTTTCAGGGGGGAAAAAAGGAGGAGAGGAGGAGGAAGGACGGAAGGAAGGAAGGAAGGAAGGAAGGAAGGAAGGAAGGAAGGAAGGAAGGAAGGAAGGAAGGAAGGAAGGAAGGAAGGAAGGAAGGAAGGAAGGGCAAGCAACGATACAAGTCAAGTGAAACCATCTCTGACAGAAACTCTCTCACAAGAAACTGGTGTCCCTTTTTCCACCTGTTTCTCGAAGGTTAACGCCTGCAGACGTGATGACTGCAAAGTGATCCCTTCGTGGTGTTTTCATCATTCAAACAGTGACTGAACTTACCACACAAGCGTGTTGCATAATCACTGTGCATGTAGTCTAAGCGTTTTGTTACATAATAGTACATCATTAGAGGGAGAATACGAGTTGTGTGGACCAGCTACCGCCGTAGGTGTGGGAGCGAAGAACACAATGCTTATCAATTATTCTTGTGTTGCAATTGCTCAGCAAATGGTCACTTGTGTTAGTGAGTCTCTGACAATGTTCAGATGAGACTCCTGCCAATGGAAATAACAGAGTAACTCTGAAATTTGAACAGGATCTGGAAAAGGAAGTTTTCGTTTTGCTTTGTTTTTATTTAGAGGAATTAAATAAAGGGTTTGAACCATCCTAAAACTTAGAAGTCTTGTAAGCAGTTTCATCACTAAAGTTTGTGCAAAAAAAAAAAATTGTACTTTCAAGAACTTAGCCTTTGGTGTTAATTAGGGAATCTGAATCCTGCTCCATGGTTCACTCTCTCTTAATTCCCTTGTTTGTAAGATGGGAACTAATAATAGTTCTACCCATATTGTAGGGAATTTGTAGGGAGTAAGTAAAACATATGTGAACGCTTAAAACAATGTGTGATACTTAGTAAGTGCTCAACACCTTGTGCATGCGTGTAGGTGTAGGTCAGAGGACATCCATGGGAGTCAGTTCAGCTTTTTCCTTCTACTGTGTGGGTTGCAGGGATAAAACTCAGGTCATCAGGGTTGACAGCAGGTCAACCTTAGCCTTTGTCTGCTAAGCCATCTCACCTTACCAAATGCAGAACTGGAAAATGTTTTTGTCCCACTACCTGTGATTACCTGATTTTTCAGTATCATTTGGTGTCTAAGAAGATTGTAATTCCAATAATTGTATAGTCCAATATTCTAGAACAAAGTAGTAACAAGAAAACCACATTTTTCCACCAAATGCTTTGTTCAAGACAGAGTGCATGTGTAGTGGTGGTCTTGTAAGGGTATGATAGAGCTGAGAAATTGGCTCTGTCACAGCCGCAGTAACTTCATACTGTGATGAATGCATTATTCAGGCATCTGTGTTGATATTGTAAACAAACATACTGCACTGTCAGTCATGTAAAAGCACAGCAATACAATTATGCACTTAACAATAATAATAATAATAATATATGACCATGTTACTGAATTATGGATCTGCTATATTTTTTAAAGATTTATTTGTTTGTTTGTTTGTTTATGTGTATGTTTGCTTACTTGATTTTATGTGCATCATGTATGTACAGGTACCCTCAGAGACCAGAGGGCATCAGATGCCCCGGAACTACACTGCTAGGCAGTTGTGAGCCACCTGATGCCAGTGCTGGGAACTGAAATCAAGTCTCCTACAAAAGCTGTCGGAGCTCTTAACCAATGAGCGATCTCCGAGCCTCCATAGCTACTCAACTTTATCATTACTTTAGCATCTACTTCTACTTACATGAAGAGTTTTATACATTGGCAGCAGCTTTACTCACCTCATGGATCTTTTGATTGGCATATCTCTTGACTGTCTAAGAAGCCAAGTGAAATGATTTCCCTATGGATTGAGGTATCACTGACCTATATATCTAAGTTTGTGGAAGTAAGTCCACTCCGTGGTGTTTACACATACACAAGATCATCTGATCCTTCATCACCTTTCACAGACGGTGACCCCACTGTAAGCAACTCTTAGCTTTTTCCTTCTGTCACTGCTGGCTGTTTCTTCTACCTCTCTACTATGGCTCTGGTCTCTAGCTACACGACCTCCAAGCTAGAAGTCACTCAGACTGTTTGTTTTTGGACTCTAAATTCACATTCTTGAGCAATAATCTTGGCGTCTTAGCACGGCCTCAGATTACTGTGGTTTGTTCTGGTTTTGTGCCACCCCCTCCCCAGAGCATCCTCTTAACTCTAATTTGTGATTTTTTTTTTTATAAGAGACTATTTTCTAAATCACAGGGTTGGACCTTTGCATCAATGTGGTTTCATCCACCTTTTGGCAATTTGAATCTTGAATGGAAGTGCCCTGAGGTGACCTAGCCACAGGATCCATGGGCTCTCAGGGCTCAAGTCCTCAGAAACTGTGCTGTTCTCTAAGCTCCCTGAAGCTTTTTTTCTCAGTGATGCCTTTGAGTCTGTGGGCTACTCTACTCATTCTGTGTGTAAGGCAAGACTGTCTCGTAAGCACTTACATATTTCTTGCAACCAAAAATGCTAAGTGGCTAAATTCCTTTTGGGGAATCTTAATCAGGTATGGCCAATTATGGACTTGCATGAGGCTTATTACCCTGTAATGTCAACATCACAAATAAATAATTTGATACATATTGAGAAAATGACGATTCTTAGAGAAGAGTAAAACCCATGTCTACCACTATTATAGTTTTAGAATGTAACAAACTCATCTAATTGAATTCTAGTGTTTGTTTCAGGTCATGTTTACATTGTTGTCTGGGAAACCATGCTCCCTGACCCTCTGTCTTGAGGCTTTGAAGAAACCATGCCTGAGTTGGTGGATGGGTATGTATGATCTAGGCTTGAACAATGAAACTGTGGAACCACCCTGGACTTACTGTTGTCTCAGGGATCAGCACGCAAAAATTGTTCTAATCAAAGTAAGCAATGACTTTTATAGCTAGATGTGGCTGAGGATAGCTGTTCTTTTTTTTTAATGCTAGACTGGAAACTGGTAAGAAGTAAATTTAGGACTGATAGGGTTACCGATGAAAAGAACATTTTTGAGAAGCAAATTAATATCAAGAGAAGTGGGACAGGGAGATGCAGGTATCATTTCTAAAGAATAGTGTTTGACCCTTAGGATTTTCATCATGGGAGGTAAGTTTTAAAATTTATAACTAGTGGCTGGAGATGTAGCTCAGTTTGTAGAGTGGGTGCCTAGATGGAGACACACACCCCCAGGCAGATCCCCAGCACTTGTTAAAATTGGTGTGGTGGTACACTTCTTAAATTTCCAGCATTTGGGAGGTCAAGGCAGCAGTTCAGAAGCTGCAGGTCATCCTCAGCTCCACGTTGGATGCCAGCCTGGGCCGTATAAGATTCTGTCTCAAGAAAATCAATGCAGTCCATTTTCTCCCTTCCCTTGCATGGCCGTAACTAAGAGTGTTCAGTTACAAGCATAAAATACAGGGAAAGAGTACAACTTATCTGATGTTAACCAATATACACAGTTTTCCCTTAACCCACAAAACAAGCCTATGGGTGGACATAATTATTCTCATTTCCAGAGCAGTCAACGGAGGAACACAATTGAGTGATTGTGTTTGTGCAACTAATACACCTCAAAGCTCCAGTTCAACCGCAGGCCAGTTTGGCCCCAGCTTTCCTCGCTCCCGGTTCTCAGGTTCCTAAGGGAACCAAGGCTTGAGGTTTCAGTGACTGAGATCTGCTTAAAACCTCAGAGACCATCTCTCTAGCAGAGCCATAATGGGACCAGAAGAGGTCAGCTCTAGCTAGTGATGTAAAAACAAATGATGCCCGTTTGAAAATGTAGTGGGTTCATGACCAGGCTGCAAAGACTATTGGTGAACTAGCTGTTATGTACAGTGGTCATTTTTGAAAGATGTTCGTCTACAGGGAAAATGGCCTTTTTCACTTTTAGGTTAGTGTCAGGATGTGTTCTCAAAGAAACCCTTCACCCTCTTTTCTTCCAAAACAGACACTTAGCAACACTCATCTTGGCCACAGAGAAATGTGCTAGGCTGCTGTGGTGATAGATTGTGTACCCTAATAAAATTTGGCTGAAGATCAGAGAACAGAACAAGCCACTAAATTAAACATAGATGCCAGGCAGTGGTGGCACACACCTTTAATCCTAGCACTTAGGAGGCAGATCTGTCTGGATCTCTGTGAGTTCAAAGCCACCCTGGACTACATGAGATTGACTCAGTCTAGGAGAGAAACAGAGCCAGGCAGTGGAGTCACACGCCTTTAATCCCAGCACTAGGAAGGAAGTGATATGGCTGGACGGAGAAAGGTATGTAGGGCATGAGGAGACAGGAACTAGGCTTTTCGGCTGAAGCTCTTTTCGGCTGGACCCCCTTTTGGCTGAGGACTCAGAGACATTCAGTCAGAGGATTCATGGAGTTGGCAAGGTGAGACATGGCTGTGGCTTGTTCCTTTGTTTCCTCTGATCTTTCAGCATTCACCGCAATATCTGACTCTGGGATTTTTATTATAAGACCTATTAGGAATTCGTGTAACAGGCTATGGGGAGAAATTATCTGGCAGAGAAAATGCCACCTTCAACTTACAGATCACCTTCTGTCCCAGTGTCTAGCTAAGTCATAACATATTTGAAGCTCTGGCTGCAACATAAAGTGTCCTTTGCATGTAAAATTCCCCGGGAATCTTTTGACTTGTCCGATTTAGGCAGCAGGAAGTCAGAACAGTGATCTACAGGATTGGTGCTGGACTTCAAGACCCCCAGGCACTTCTCAGCCTCACAGTCTTGGGAGAGCTATTTCAGTTCTCTCTGCTTCATTTTCCTCACCTGTAAGATGGGAACAATGAAAATAATACTAACATCATCAGCTCGTCACCCTCCCCCAAGCACCTCAACTAAATTCACTGCAAACTTCTGGTTTCCAAGTCTGAGTATTCATAAAGCATGTTTTCCCTAGACTATGATTTACTTCTCTTCTTTCTCACACTCACATGTAAATATTTTTACATAAATTAGCTCCCAGAATGAGCAAATTGTAAGACAAGCCCCAGCAATGGAGGAAAACAAGTTGATCCTGCCTGGGAACACCCCATAATCATTACAGTGTAAAATGTGTGGGAAATTATCTCAAGACAGTTTTTGTTATACAAGTATGCTGTTTTAAAATAGTCCCCTTTTCAAATTTTCAATTATATCTGATTTAGCCATATGGTTTCATAAGTTATAAAACCAAAACTAGAGTAAACTTGTTCAACTACTTAAAATATGATCAGTTTAGAATCATGATTATCATTTCAACAACGCTGGAATATGCATCTGTCTCTTTATTTACTGTGTGTGTGATATGTGTGTGTGTCTATGTGTGCATGCACATGTGTGTGGCATGGAGACCAGAGGTCAATGTTGGGTGTCTTCCTCAATCACTTTTGAAGCAGTGTCTTTCACTGGACCTGGATGGAGCTCATCAGTTTGGCTAGCTTGGTTGGCCATTGAACTCTAGTGAACTCCAGTCTCTCCCTTTTCCAGAACTGGGGTTACAAGGGCACATCACTGCATCTGGGTTTTTAAATGGGTGCTGGGTATCTAAAATCAGATCCATATGCGTGTGGAGCAACACTTCACCAGCTGAGCCCTCTTTCCAGCCTTTTCTTTCTAATTTGGAGGTGAAGCACAGGTTGAGGGGGGATTCTCTTTTAAGTTTTGGAAATCAGAGAAATTTTCATTTGCCCTTCTCACCAGAATAGATTAAGAAATATCATTAGATTTTGTTTCAAACAAAAACTCATGCATTGTCTTCTGAATACAAAATCAAAATGTCTGAACTGAATCTTTCAAGCAGCAGAGAGCTTAGGCAACAAACATACCTTTCTTTTGGTGTTAAATTCGATGCTGAATACACTGTCAACAGAGCCGCATGCTGTCGTCATTAGCTGCAAGAACATGAAGCCAGGCCAGGTGGTGCAGGCCCTTAATTCCAGTGCGCAGAAGAAGGAATGGTCTGTGAGCTCAAGGCCAGCCAAAGCTACATAGTGAGGCTTTGAGTCAAAAAAGGGAAATGAAAGGAAAAAAAAATAACAAAAACATAATGGATGCAAAGTCAGCCTCTGTGTGTGTGTGTGTGTGTGTGTGTGTGTGTGTGTGTGTGTGTGTGTGTAGGTAGGTGGTTAAAGAGACCAGAAGAGGGTGTTTGGTCCCCTGGGGCTAGAGTTGCAGGTAGTTAGGACCTGCCTGATGTGTGTGAGAACCAAACTCAGGTCCTCCGGAAGTAGCGAGGATCCTCTTAACTGCCGAGCCATCCTTCAAGCCTCTCACTATGTAACCTTTCATGAGTTCTTACACTAAATACATGATGTATGAAAAGTGCTTTGCATGGCTCCTTTCATTTAGCAACCACTCAATACAAAGTGAGTTGAAATAAAATTACACATATATACACCTATAAGTATACAGAAACAATGCCAAAGTTGAAAAATAAAATTTTCACAGACTAGAACTCTAATACTAAAATTAAAAGTAACTATGTATCTTCCTAAAGCTCCTTTACTAGCAAACACAGGAAACATACACACAGGTCTAGATAAATGCCAGGGCAATGAGATATTCCTGGAAAGTAGTTATTTTTATTAGTGTGTGCTAAGTTGCACGGTACCCTGTCAGCTCAAAGGTAATATCAATGCTATAAATTGTATCTTGCCATACCTATATATCTACCTACCTGTCTCTCTATCTGAGACAGAGTCTCCCTAAGTACTCTAGTGTACTCTACACTTACTATGTGGTCCAGATTGGACTCAACTCACAATCCTTTTGTCTACACTTTCTAAGTCCTGGGATTACATGCGTCTTCACTGTAATTCTTAGTTGTATTCAATTTTAAAGAAAGCATAACGCTGTTCTCAAGCGTTTAAAGAAAGCATAAGGTGGTTCTCAACCTTCCCAATGCTCTGACCCTCTCATACATTCCCTCATGTTGTGGGGACCCCCAACCATAAAATTATTTTTGTTGCTACTTCATAACTGTAATTTTGCTACTGTTCTGAATCATAATGTAAATATCTGTGTTTTCCTACTGTTCTGAATCATAATGTAAATATCTGTGTTTTCCAGTGGTTTTAGGTGACCCCTGTGAAAGGGTCATTTGATCTCCAAAGGGGTTATGACCCACTGGTTAAAAACCTCTATGTTACAGGATCTGGAATAATTACTTTTTATTTTTTTAAGGTGTTTATATATTGACAGTGGTAAGATGAACAATTAGGAGTTGCTTCAGTTACACAATAGTGAGATCTATTTTGTCAACAATTGTTCTTTTAAAACTGAACAGGCTTAAAAAAAATGTTCCAAGTGTGAACAGCTGCTCAAACAGTACGAGCTCTCTGCACACAGGCAGGTGCTGGTAATATCCCCGAAACTCACAGCACAAGTGGTGGTTTATGAAGGATATAGAGAAAGAAATCAAACATGAAAATAGTTAAATACCACACCAGTAAAAGAAAACAACACCTTCCTATCTATCCTCTGTAGAAGAATCAGTTTTTTGAAAAAAAAAAAAAGTTTAAAGAAAATCATAAAGACTTTCCCATTGCTTGGAGGGATTTTGAGAACACAATACTACCTCGTTTTGTACATTTATTACAGATATGTAGGAAACGCGGAGCACTGAGTCCCACCTGAGTCTGGTCCCAGGAGAGCAGAGAGAGGGAACTGATGCTCTTGAGTTCTCTGACCTCCACCCGCGACACGTTACGTCAAGGTGAGGACCACCTCACTCCCTGTGATTCTTCTCGCACTCGGCACACAGTGTGCATCGAGCACGTTAAAGGGCCCGGGAGGTTCAAGCCACACATGCAGCAGAAGCCCACGTCTTAGTCACGTCGCGTGACGTCATTAGCTTAAAGTCGTGATCCACTGGGGACGATTTCACTCCAGGAATATTTGACAGGGTGGGGAGATATTTTTGGTTGCCACACCTCTAGGGTTGCTCTGACCTAGTAGACAGAAACCAAAGATACGGACCCCAATCCTATAAAGCACAGGAGGGCTTTCCAGAAAGGAAGAGTGATCCAGCCCCAAATGGCAACAGTGCTGAGCAGAACAGAACTCACTAAAGCACACTTGGCTGAAATACAAGACCTTCTGTAACGATACAGAAGAAAGCTTCACGTCATTCAGGACTTACTTCTGAAAGAGCCAAGCATCTGGGATGAAAATGAGGACAGGGAACAGAAAGCCGCCATCTTTCAGCTGTTAGCGTTCTCATGTTCAGCACCACATGTGATCGTTAGGAAGCAGGCGAGAATGGACGAGATGATGGTGTCACACGCAGACATCGCATTTCACCTAGAATACAAACTGGCATTTGCTAGTACTGAGATGTGTAAAAAGGGATTTGGATGGGCTTCATTTTGATACCGGTGTCTGACATGAGGGCACTGACATAGGAAAAGAAAAGGCAATAATGAGAAAGAAGATAGTTAGCATTATTTGAAAGACTTGATTATGATGTGTTAATTGTACATAATGGCTGCCACTGTGCAAGTTCCACACAAGCACATAAGGTACTTTGGTCGCATTTACCCTCTCTGTTATCTTCTCTTCTCAGTCATGAAAAACCTGGAGTCTGCTAAACTTACCATGTAACTGTGTTACCATGTAACTGTGTTACCATGTAACTGGCAAGGTTCTTCAATGTCAGAAACTGTTTCACAAAGAACCTTTTTGTTTCCTTTCCGTAAAATCGTGCTGTGATTTCTCTTGTGTATGTCTCTCCCCTTGGCTAGACTGGGACCCTGTGGATGGCAGGTCTTGTGTCTTATTTACCATCAAAACTTGATGCTTTGCCAGTGAACAGGGCTCTCACTGGAGGTCTGTTACCTCAGAAAGCAGCACTGCCCACACCACACACCTGGATCTTCTGAAACCTCCTAATTCACAGAGGTTGTCACTAGTCAGCTCTATGGCCTTTCCACAGGCAAGAGAGCTCTTTGTATTCAGTGAGTGTTGGAGAGGCTAGCACACAGGACTCAATTAACTAGGACACTGAATTCAATTTATCTCAAGACTAATTATTGTTAATTTTCTGTAGGGTAAGACAATGTGAACATCTTCCTCACATGGACTCGGTAAACAGTGGTGACCTTTTTTATTTTAATTTGTGTGTATGTATGTTGCACACATATACACGTATCATAGCATGCATGTGGAAATCAGAGGACTACTTACAGGAGTCAATTCTCTCCTTCTACTGTGTGAGTACTGGGGATAAAACCCAGGTCTTCAGGTTTGGCAGGAAGATCCTGTACCCACTCAGCCATCTTGCTGGTCTGGTGCCTTTTCTTCTTTCCTTGTGGATTTGTTTATAGCTCTTATGTGGTTTGGCCCTTTAACTGTTTGACACTTCTAACAGAATTAACGTATTCCGACAAGGGCAAATATTTACCTGGACCACTTCTTCAGGCAGCCCTGGACGAATCCGTGTGAGATGCAGACTGGGTACCATAAGCAAAGACCAGCATCTAAGTCTGACACAGGGTTGTCCCCTTAGATTGCCATTTTCTCTGGAAAGCCACCCTATGGTAGAGAGTGTGGGCAAGGGAAGGAGAGATAAGGAAGAAGGTCAATGTGCTGAGGGATAAAGTCCATTTCTGCTGTGGGCTCATCATTCAGACGTCATCCTCAGTCAACCTATACTGAAATTTTCTCCACAGAGGCAGAATTTACTTCTCCTTTGAATCTGCTCTAGAAAGATCTTCCTCAACCCCAGCCATCAAGCAATGTGGAATGACACCAGTAGCTATGAAGTAAAATTTTTGCTGTTATTTTGATTCAGAAAACATGCTTTCTTCTTTCTTTTCATGAACCAATATTTATGAATTATTCTTGTGTACAGACGACATATCTATAGTATATCACTCTGAAAACATTGACTAGAGAGTTTTCTGCCCTCTGATTTTTGTGTATTCTAAGGAACGAGGGAGAAAAGGTCAGAATCCCTCCCTCTTTAATGTCCCAATAAAACTATCATCTAAATTATTATTGTAAGCCAGGGTGGCGATGTGTGATTGTAACCTCCACACTGATGAGGCAGATGTGAGGGGATTACAATGTAGTTTGGGCTGCATAGTGAGAACCTGTCTGAAAAACCAACCAAACTACTCTTGTTAGCTTTGAAATATTGGCAGTAGCATATGTCTGACCAAAGCAAATACATGTTCTCTTTCAAAACAAATGGGTTTTGAACATGTTGATTGTAGGGTGAGGGACAGAAACCTCTCAGGGCCAGTCTCCAGCAGCGGGTCCCCTCTTAGTCTCCTACCCGAAGGACGAGAAGACCCACAGTGGACAGCAAGAGAGCTGCCACACATGCGAAGCACTCGCAGTCCTTCTTGTTTTCTTATTGTCCTGGGCACAGCTTTCCCTCAATCCAAAGCAGCTACAAATGAAAGCAGTTATCCACAGAGGAGGAAGTTCAAAGACAAGTGGAGAGAGAGAGAGAGAGAGGAGGGAGGGGTCACATGAGGAGAACCAGTGAGGACAAGAAGAATCTTGGCAGCTCTCCTCGGCACAGAAGTCTAAAGCAGAAAACATATTTGGGGACAGATGGACTGATGGCAGCTATGGACGGAGTGATGCCCGCAGAGGTTTCCAAGAGACTCAACCACTGACTGTTATGTTTTGACAAAGACTTGAAAATGGACAGCATCCCAGGGCAAGAAAGATTTCTAAATATTTTCTTCTGAGTTTGGAATGGTCACTTTCTTTTGGCTCCTAGCGTTTATTCTTTCATGTTTCTGAATAAAGCTTGAGAGGAAAATTCTACTGAAATTTGTGAATGAATTTCCTTTGCTTTCATTACCAAATGATTATCAAGAAAATGCAGGAAGGGCTTTTGGAAATCCGACTTCAGTGAGAATTGAGAGTAACTAGCATCTGTCTTTTAACTACGAGACTGTTTTATTATATATTTAAAGGCATCTTGAAGTTACTATAAAAGAATCGTAGTTAAAACTGCAATTCATTTGGGGGAGGAACTTGAAGTAAAATGAAGATAACTTACTGGACACTTCGGAATACATTTTAAAACCAGCATTAATGACAAATAATGCTGTCTAGGATTTTCAGATATATTTTATGCAAATGAAATTAATATTTATAATTCAATAGTATATGTAAACCCTACAATGCTGGATTCCAAAACCGACCGAAAACCTCAATGGAGTGGCCAGAGTCTGGAATGCGAGTTGTTTGAATCCATTTGCAAGCTCATTGTCAGTGGGAATGCGTTCCTGCTGCCCTAGCTTCCTTAGGAAAGTATACTACGAGTAAGAACAACTGTGGAACAGGACCTCAAAATGTTTACTCGGGGTAGAGATTTCATAAAGGTGACTGTAGAAGAGCGAACATTTCAGATTGCCTACCCAGTCTAGGAGGCTTTTCTTTTAGTCCACACTTTCCCACCGTGAGAAGGAGCGCTCATTAACAACCGAATTGTTTTCCAAGGCTGTAGGCTAAGGGGTTTCCTTAGAAACCATTTGGTAAGAACTGTGGCTTTCTTCCTTAGAAATCTCAAGCAGTGAAAAGGCAGATTTGCTGGCATAAATCAAACTCAATTTCTAGGGTTCACTAAACCCTTTCTCCTCAAAATAATGTTTTGTGACTTGATCTTAGCTGTTAATAGTACATGCCACAGAGCTGGTGTGAACCAGTTTTAAATGAATTTTTGTTCCATTTCCTTTGTCATTCAGTAGAAATCACTTCCAGAGTTTGTTATACCTGATGAAGGCTGAAGTGTAACAATGAATGAAAAAGATACTCCATTTTATTGCGTGGCAAAATCTGTAATCATTCTTTCCTACTGGGTTTACTCTAGGGAATCGATCTTCCTATTGTGAGGACAATGCTATCTGTGCTGATTGCAGAGTTGTTTTTGCTTGTAAACATACCAGTAAAAGGAGCTGGGAAAACAGAGGCCTTTCTGTGTTAAAAATATAGGTGTTTAAGCAAACCTACTGAGTGGAAATCGTATTGCTACGACAGAACGGCACAGCTCCACACCATCATTCAGTTTGTACATGTTCTTCCACTTGCCGATAGTGTGACCCGCCTCCCAAACAAATCTTATGCCCACTTCACTCTATACAATATCTCATTCATTCAGGCAATACAATTTTACCGAGCATTAGCTGAGCGGTGGTGGTGCACGCCTTTAATACCAGTACTCAGAAAGCAGAGGTAGACAGAGTTTTGTGAGTTTGAGGCCAACCTGATCTAAAAAGTAAGTTCCAGAAAAGCTGGGGCTGTTACACGGAGAAACCTTGTCTCAAACAAACAAACAAACAAACAGAAAAACAAATAAACCAAAAAAACAAAAACTTTACTGAACATCAATCATTTGCTGTATTCTGTATTAAATCCAGGAAAGAAGAAAATAAATAGCTCCTTGTGGAGCTGATGATCAAACATGAATTCTTGCTCCCATTCTGACTCAGACAGAGTACAGCATTCTTGCCGTCACCATCACTATTCAACTGTGTATCTGCTACACACCAGGTACCTGATACATCATCCCGTAACTATTTCTGAATCTGATTCACTTGACTGTGAACTTGGAAGGAGCCATTTACATATCTCTGTGTTGTCAATACTTCACATGTTTCTTGGAATACAATAGGTACAAAAGTAGGTGTTTGTTGGATATGTGATTGAACAGCTAATAGAACAAGTGCTGTGATACTTGAATAGTATCAATAATACACCCTCATCTTAAAAAATTACCAGCGGTTTTTTGCTAAAAATTTTTGCCAATCACTTTAGAGAGGTGAAAGACAGAAACCTGAGAAACTGTCAAGCTGTTCCAAGAACTCTGCTAACCACAGTCCTTGTCATGTCACCAGACAACTCTTCCTTTCCCGAGACTGAATTATTGGTAATCTCACAGAATCATCTGCACTCAGAAAATAAGGCAGGTTACAAACTGTTCTCCTTAATTGACTAAGAGGGTGTTGTGACATCTTGGTTAGGGGATACTTGAATGTGAGGAGGAGTCTTTGCTCCCGAAGCCATTTCACGGGACACAAATGTGCAAAATCTCTTCCGCAGCCTAAGGCCCTGCATGCTCTGCCACTTCACCCCAGCTCTCTGGCCTCGTTTCTTGCTACTCCCCCTTTCCCTGGCTCCCCGTATCTACACTAGCCTGCTTGCTCTCCCTCAAATGTTGTCTTCTGTGCACATTTCTTAGTGAGGTCCACACCACGCTTCAAGCAGCAGACTTGATCCCTCCCACTGGATCACTTTCTACCTCCACAGTCTACTTTCTTTGTAACAATCTGCAGTAAAGAAGTGAGGAGTGTCTGGGTAGAAAATGATCTATGTAGATTAAATTGGAAGATTGTTATTAAACTTCCTCTTAGCTGTTAGATAGTTGCTACTCTTATTTTTTCAATTTAAAAATTTAAATATGTTATTCATTCATTTATTTATTTAGTGTGTATGGCAGAGAGGCACATATGCCATAAAGCATCCATGCAAGTCAAAGGACAACATACAGGAGTCACTTCTCTCTTCCCACCTTATGGGTCCCAGGGATCAAACTTAGGATGTCAGGCTTGTTGGCAAGTACTTTTGTCTTGCTGAACCATCTCACTGACCTTACTTTAATTTTACTTAAACAAAGTATTATACCATGGAAACTTCTCCTCATACAAATGCATACATGTACACATTTTTATGAAAAAAGATCTAGGCTTGTGATGGCTATTCTTGTCAACTTGACTACATCTGGAATTAAATAAAACCCTAAAATAGAAGGCACACCTGTGAGGAATTGTTTGCTTAATTTGAAGTAGGAAGATCCACTTCTAATCCAGATCTTTGAGGTAGGAAGACACACCTTTAATCCAGATATTTTGATCTGGGAAAAAAACCAAAACAAACCTGCCTTTAATCCCAGATCTTGAGGTGGGAAGACACACCTTTAATCTGGGCCACACCTTCTGCTGGAAGCCTATATAAGGATATGGAAGAAGGAAGGTTTTTCTCTTTGCCTGCTTGCTCTCACCTTGATAGCAAGTCCATTCCTTCAGGAGCTTCTGTAGTTGGAAGTTTTCCTGTGTCCCAGCCAGCCAGCAGTCAGGACAAATCTCTCCCACTCACATCCCCCAAGTAAACACACAGAGGCTTATGTTAATTATAACTGCTTGACCATTAGCTCAGGCTTATTACTGATTAGCTCTTAACACTTAAATTAACCCATAATTCTTATCTATGTTTAGCCACATGGCTTGGTACCTTTTCTCAGTTCTGCCTTGACATCTTGCTTCCTCTGTGTCTGACTGGCGATTCAGCCTTCCTCTTCCCAGAATTCTCCTTGTCTGCTTGCCCCACCTATACTTCCTGCCTGGCTACTGGCCAATCAGCATTTTATTTATCAACCAATCATAGCAACACACATTCACAGCATACAGAATGCCATTCCACAGCAAGCATCAGAGCCTACTTCTTTGGGATTCCAGCGTATATCTGAAGTCCAGCCTTTGGACTTAGCAACTTCTGGATTTTTAGACCTTCTATTCATAGCCAGCTATTGTTGGATTAGCTAGACCACAGCCTGTAAGTCATTCTAATAAGTCCCCTTTATATAGCTAAATGGATAGATAGGTAGGTACATAGGTAGGTAGGTAGGTAGATAGATAGATAGATAGATAGATAGATAGATAGATAGATAGATAGATATTCATCCTATAAGTTGTTTCTCTAGAAAACCCAGACTAATACAAGGCTAAATCATACTTCTCAGCTTTGAATCACGTAAACCTTTCACTCCAGCTATTATGGTTTAAGTACAAAGTGCCACCTTACCCCAGGGCCAGGCCCAAATCAAGGTTTACCTGTTAGAGGATTTCCCAGATGATGGCATTATTGAATGGTGGCTGGACCAGAAGGGCTGTTATCTAAACAATGATGGAGTCTTAAAATGATGGTGTTACTAGGAGACGGGAGGAACTAAGAAGTGAGTGGGCGGAATGAGGTCACTAGGAGTGTGCCTTGAAATGGTTGGTTTTGTCACTGTCCCCCTTCTCGCTCTAGCTCCTAGTGGTCATGCAGCAAGCAGCTTCTCACCAGAATGCCTTGATGCCGTGATGTTTCTGCCTTGCCACAGGCACTGGGCAATGGTGCCAGTCAACAATGGTCTGAAATTTCTGGAAATGGGAGCCTGAAGAAGTCTTTCCTCTCTTACATAGCTTCTTGAGAAATTTTGTCATAGCAATGAAAAGCAACTAAAATAGTTAAAAGCAACTAAAATAGCCATATGGATTCCTTTTCTGGTCCCTAAGTGTTCTTATCTTTGATTTAGATTCATGACATTCTCACTTCAAACATTTTCTTTTTTGTTCTTTGAGAGAGTTCCATTTTTGGTTTTGATGATAGAGTCTTACCCTGTAATCCAGGCTAGCCTTGAACTCACGAAAATCTCCCACCTCAGTCTCTTGAGTACAAGGATTTCAGGCTTGAGCCACTATGCCCAGCACCGAAACTCAGTTCTGATGTGTATTACATCTTTAATCCCTGAAATGTTGAGAATGTTCAGGCGATGAGGCAGGACACTAATACCACTCAACAGACAGCAAGAACTGGAGCCCAGTAACCATCACTGTAATCGTGGAGTAACAAAATTCAAAGCCTGTGGCTGGAAAAGGTAGCCCAGGCTCCATTCACACAACGATGGAAGCAAAATGTTTCCTGAGATAGTGGGAATGAACAAGCTGGTGGAGAACTTCTGATTGTATCCATGACCTATGGTAGAAGACACAGATGGAACCATGACTAAAACAAGGCTC